GGGGGGGCTGCGATACATAGGTAATATATTATATAGGCAGTGAATTATCCTTAATATGCAAACTATGATGTCACATATGTCGCGTTTATAAGTTAATCTGTCAAGGATATTACGTGAGTTTTAATTAGTTTTTTWTTTTGTCGCATTTTGTCGCGTTACTGGTACAAAAGACAAAACTTGCATTATAAATTGCAAATAATATATCTACACTCTACAGCAACTAATTACTATTAATGTTCTATAGTTATGTACTCTATACAGTACTGACTAGAGACTAATTTAAAAAAATTATAACACAACAACATATTATTCAACTTAAGCAATTTAAATAAAAATCTATTTAATTTATTTTTCTGATTGCCGAGTATGGACAGTTTCGAAAAAAATGTGTGTGCTGTTTTCATCATTGAAATAATAAACTTTGAATATCTTTTTGTCAACTCATTTGCACAATAAATTTATGTTTGTAAAGAAATGAATTATGCATTTTAATTTCAATGACGCTTAAAAAAAAAAAAATAACAATAATAATAATAAATAAAAAATACTAAGAGATGAAAAAAAAATGTCATTAATATTATTTAATATTTTTGTTATATATATCTTTGAATTTTTTTTAAATCTTTCAATATGTCATCCTAAATGGACATATTCTTAATTTTCAACAAAGAACATAATATTATTTCACATATGCCTGTACATGATATTAGTGTTGATACCTTTATTCTGACGTAGACAAGGTAAACGACAGTGATATAGCAAGAGGGTATTTTGGGACTTGAATCCTCAACCTCTACTCTTCATTGGCCGTAGTTATGTAAAAAGTATATTAATGATTATGTACTATATAGTGTGATTTAGATTATACAAAATATATTGTCTTTAATAATAAAGTTTCTATTTCATATTTGATCATATCCAATATTTTTAATATTTAATATTGTTTATTAATATGACCTTTAATGACCACTGCAATACAGCGCGTGTAAAAACCTACCTCCACATATTAGGATTAAATCTTTTAATTACCTAGTAGGTATTAAAAGGATATTTGACTTGTTACAGCATTTGAAAATGATTTAGAGAATCAGATATTTTTGTCAGTTTCTGTTTACACATTAGTTTTATATAATGAGTTGTATYAAATACTATCATCGAGCAATTTTTTTGTGCTTCAACCAAAAGTTACTATAGTTTAACAATAAATTGACTAAAAAGATAAGTATGTGTCCTAATATTAATTAAAATCTTATAGCTACATTACTAATAATAAGAAGTTAAACTTTAATCATACTTATAAATTAATAATTAGTTTATTGAAATGAAATTATGTTATGTTGATAAAATGAAAAAATAGAACTTGATAACAATTTATGTGTTTTTTTCATCTTGATAATTTATATGAAAAAAAGAAATAGTAAACAACAATTTTTGGTAATTTGTAGAATATATTGCTAAACGTAAATTTATTAACTTATACAAATGTAAGGCAAAACAAAAAATTAGATAAAAGTATATTATTAGAGCTCTTAAAATATTATTCTGCAATAAATTTACATTTATATGTAACTAAATTTGACGATGTCATAAAGTAAAATAAAAATTATTTAAAAGCGAAATTTAACATAAAACATGGTAAATGTCAGCGGTATATTATTCAAATTACTGTCAAATTAGTGAAACCAATCCGTTAAAATTTATAGCGTACTCGTAAACTGCATCATATAGTGTTACTTCATAAATAATATAGTTGCACGTAAATCATTTAATAAATTTACTACTAAGCTGTGTGACAGTTGTTCAATAAAATAAAAACCACAGCTGATAGCAACTGCAAGTGTTTAATGGTCATATAATCGATAATATTTTAAATGATTAATTTTGTTTTAACACAATTCAATGTAATGGAAATGAGTATTGTTTTAATATGTTTTTGATAAAAACAAATCTTGAGATATCTTAAATAGGTTGTTTTTTATGTTGTTACTATAGCTGTAAAGTAAATTMTATTATAAATGATCCATTAACCCGTTCTAAATAACACATTTGTAATAATAATTATATGTTAAAGCTTTTCACTTAATCATATTTTTCTTTTTTTAAATATAAATTAAATAACATACTAATGATTGTCTATTATATTTCTGTTAACACGTTCTAATAAAT